TGTCTGGTCGGCTGGAAGGAACCATGCATGACGATACCTAGATCCCTGACCTAGTCAGTTGTTTCCACCGGTGTGCGCCCCGTGCCATTTATCAGCCTCGTCTCTTCGATGGATCCCTCTAACAGAAGATGCTAGCATTAACTGGCAACAGCCACTCCTCCGTCCACTTGTGAACTTCATCTAGGTCATCTTGAATGGAGTTGGTGGAGGGCTTAACGATAATTTTTACGTCATCAGCAAACANACAGGAACGACGATTGTACTATCCTCTTGGTCAGGTCATCAATGTAGATGAGGAATAGTAGAGGTCCCAGCACGGACCCTTGGGACACACCACTACAGGCTGCCCCCCTAGTGGACACTTCGCCCTCTACCCTGACAGAGAAGGACCGGCCAAGTAGGTACACCGTAATCCATCTGACAACTTGTTCGGACAGACGGAAGGTCCTTAGTTTTTCGATCAACAGTCGGTGGTTGACTGAGTCGAATGCCTTTTAGAAGTCTAAGTAACAGACTTCCACGCGCTCCCCCGATCAAGTCTTTGGGTGATCTCGTTCATGAAGTCCAGCAAGTTTGGTAGGCAGGACTTCTTCTGCACAAAACCGTGCTGGTTAGGAGATATCAAACCCTGGCTTAGAACGTGCTCTGCTATGCGATTTCTGAGGATCCTTTCCATAATCTTCAGCGGAATAGGCAGCAAACCGACCGGTCTATAATTTCCTACCAAGCCCCTTGGCCCTCCCTTGTGGATAGGCATCACCTCTGCTATTTTCCAATCTGCTGGGAGTTGAACGCGACAGAGGGATAGGTTAAACAGGTGAGCCAGTGGATTGGCAACGACTGCTGCCAGGGGTTTCTGTATGGCTGGGTGGATACCATCTGATCCTGCCGATTTGCCAATATTTAGGCGCCTCAAGTGATCCTGAATCTCCTGGGGGAGGATTTCGCAGTCTGGCATACGTGGGATGGGCCTCGGAGTTTGTTGATCCCCGAAGGCCCGATATCCCTAACCAGAACTGCTTCACAGAAGCGTCTGAAGAGTTCTGCCTTCTCAGAGCTGGCTAGGACTGGGTGGTCGCTCTCATCCTTGAGAGCACCTATAACCGTACGCAGCTTGGAGTTAGCTTGTACGTAGTTAAAGTATGCCTTGGGGCATTCTTTAATCGTCAGTCTCACCATTGGGATATTTACTTAGGACTGGGTCCAATAACCCAGGGGTTTGCCCGCTGCGATAACGCATGGGGTGGACTGGGGCGCAGTCAAGGGTAAAATTTCCTTGTAAGTAGCCAAAACTGCTTGGTGGTGCCCACGTGGAATTTCAGTCAACATCCGGGGCATTAAAGTCCCCTAGAATCAACATGCTGGTTGATCCGTGGCCAAGCTGTCTGAGGTATGATAGTAGTTGCTCATTCTCCATTTGGGATGCTGAAGGACTGCGATAAACACAGCCTACCGCCAGCTTTTTTGTGGGGAGTTGTATGGCACAGGCCGATACTTGGATGTTAGGTGTGTTTGAGGGAGCGACTGTTTCAGTTTGGAGCTTCTCGTTGGTCATAAGCAGTGCGCCTCCCCCAATGCAATTGTCTTCCCTATCGGTTCTGAAAGCAGTGAAACCTTTTGGTTTTAACGACTCGATG